CAACATATTCAAGCTTCTTGGTCCAGTGCCAGACACATAAAAGCTATAAAAATATTTGCTATAATTACTAATAGATTATACTCCAAAATATTCAAACAATGTAATTTATACAAACTATTTAATTGATCTTAGTTCAATTAAATAAAAGATCAATACTTAAAAAGTTACAACCCATATATTTGGAAGTTGAAAAAAATACACAATAAATAATGAATATAAGAGCAGTATTTAAAAATCTACCTAGAATTAATGGATAATGGAACTGCTATACATAAGAAAGGTCTAGTGACTCTGCTAATAAATAAATACATAAAGAGAAGTAAAAGAAAATTATACCAGCAAATGTATATATTAGAAAAATAAGAACATTTAGAAGCATTGATTATCAAACATAATGCTTACAAATGAACCAGAGAATAAACATAGATAAAAGTAGAGGAAACAGAGTAAGTATTTTTCAGAGCAAAAATTAATGAAATACAAAACAAAGATATGAGGATAATCAAATGCAAAAGTTCAGTGTTAAAATTATTTTCCAAAAATACAACCTAGTGAATAGTGAACAGAATTCTGATGAACCATTCTTATTTATGGTCTGGAATTGTAAAAGAACCAAGTTATAAAACAATTCTGTTGAGTTACAAATCAATAAATGAATAAAAGCACAAGTCTGTATTACCCATGGGGTTTTGTACTGGGAGATTTGGAGTATTGTATTGGGGTTTGTGGTGAAATGAGAAGGCTGCACCAAGATGGCTGCTGGCAAGCACACATCAGTTATTCACGAATGGCTTCGGAACCCACCTGGCAAAGAAGCCAATCTGCCCCTTGACAGGACTGGCTGCCTCAGCTATATAAGCTGTTGTACCAACTGAAATAAACGAGTCTACGGGCTGCTTGCCTCTGGTCTGCTTTCACCCAACTCCCAGTGTTTGTGTCGTGACTCCATGTCTCTTGCCCCCACTGTGCTCCTCCTCTCAGAATGAATCCATAGCAACATCTGGCGCCCATTGTGGCAAGGCTTAAGTAGCCCATGTTTTAGATATTTTTCTATGAATAGTTTAATGCCTGTAGAGATCTCAGGTTTTATGGGGTCTTGCCTTTGTAGCTATATTTAGCATCTAATTACAGTGAGATTTTTTAAAAAGATTATTTATATTAAAGGCAGAGAGAGAGAGAGAGAGAGAGAGAGACTTCCATTTGCTGGTCCACTCCCCAAATGGTTACAACAGCTAGGACTGGGCCAGGATGAAGCCAGGAGCCAAGAGCTTCTTTCAGGTCTCCCACGTGGATACAGGGGCCCAAGCACTTGGGCCACCTTCTACTGCTTTCCCAGGTGAATATAGGGGGGCGGATCAGAAGTGGATCAGCTGGGACACAAACTGACACCCATATGGGATGCCGGTGCTGCAGGCAGCAGCTTAACCCATCACATCATGGCACTGGCCCCTAGTGAGATTTTTACAGGGATTTCCCTACTAGCCCTTCTTTCTGTGATCTTCCACTTTCCATACAGATAGATCCACTTGGGAGGCAATATAGCCAGAGTTCAGAGAAAGAGCTACAGCAGAGTGTATACAGGTAGCTAGGGCAATCAAGAAAAAATGGTCCTGACACAGGACTAGAGGTGTGTCCTACTATGACAGTCATTAGACAAGGGAGCTCTACCTAGTAGGGGAACTGAGCATTCAGGCTTATACAAAACCCTCGGGGCACTGTTGGGAGTCAATAAAACAATCTAAAGTATAATAAACACTTTCTCTTTGGTCAGCCATCTATCCCTGCAATGATGCAGGAAATCATAAACAAGAATTGGGTTAGAACACATGAGGGCCTCCAGTATCTGACAAAAATTTAATTTTGTTACCTGCCATGTCAACGGTTACCCGAGCAAGTCTCCAAAATGATGGTTAGCAGTCCAGCTGGAGCCACTGGGAGACCGTGACTCAATCAGCCCTCAGATCTTTTAGCCATCAGTAGTCCAGTGGTCTCCATTTCTCATTGGGGTCAAGAACAATCCTTCTTCCAATTTCCTTTGCTTTTGCAAATGGCACACTGGTTTAGACTCAGTGGCCAACAGGCTGAGGGCCCTAAGCCTGGGCTCTGCTTTAGGCTCTGGCTTTGTCCTCAGTCTCCAGGAGGGGTAACCCTGAGGTGGTCCAGTGCCCAAGGCAACATCCGTCACCTGGGCCTTTCATGCACTACTTTTATCTCTGTCCATTCCCTCTGCTCTACACCTACTGTCAGATACTTGGGAAATCATCCCTGTGAGTCCTGCTAAGCATGTCTGGGGTCCTGCACCTGCTTTTTACCTGACATCTGAGGGCTGCTTGATTACTGAAGTGCATGGCTGTAAGGGCTTGCCCTTGGGGTAAGTAGGATCTGTGTTGGTGTATTTTCTAAAGACCTTTGTTAGGCAGCTCTGAAACATGGTAGGGTTTTTATATGTATCTTGGGTAGCCTCTCTCACCTCTTAGTAACTGGCTGGCTTAGCTGAACATTTCATTCTACTGGGCAAGTTATCATGTGGTCCTGATGCTCCCTATCGTTGAAGCACATTGGGCAATTCCAGCAGGCTCACTGACATCTCTACCTGTCCTGTAGATGGTATGGGCTGGACTTAAAGCAGCAAGAGTAGGGCCACTATTTAGCCTTATTGATTATGTGTTGTTTCTTTTCAATACTGCACCAGTGAAATGGCAATAGTTGCATGTTTGGTGTAGTCAAAACAAAGAGTTACTTCCACAAATTCCTAATGAAATTAGCTGGAGTCCTCAGAAGATTGTCCCAATTTTTTTTTTTTTTTGCTTATTGTCAGATCAGACATAGAGAATGAAACACAGACTCAAACAGTCTGACCAGCTCCATCCCTAGTCTGTCTTAAAGGGCAAAGCTTAAAACTGCCAAACTCATGAGAGTGGATGGGGAGCAGGGATTTGATGGTTGTCTTGAGAGGCAGAAAATGCAATCCCCTGGCTTCTTATTCTTGCTGCCTGAGCTAGGAGCTCATAAGAATGCCTCCACTTGGGGGAGTCACCATTTTGCCAATTAATTGGGCGGGAAAATCGACAGGAAGAGAAAAAAGTAGATGCTTTCAGCAGCTGCAAGTATCCAGACCAGGGTTGGAAAAAGCCATGCAACAATCGAATTTGGGTCTGTTCACGGCACAAAGATAACGGCCCTCAGCCCAGAGGCAGTGTACGTCAGAGTAGTGGACTGAAAGCAAAAGGAAGAAGTACAAGAGATCTCTATGGTATCTCAGGCCAGGGTACAGTGTATGAGAGACGGTGCTTTCAGTGAGTGGAGAAGAGTCACCTCAAGGCAGTAACTACCGCTATGTCTACAAGAGACAGAGTTAGCATGCTTCAAAGATGGGGAATATGTGAGTAGCAGGCAACCAAGATGTGACATCAGGAGATGTTAGATCCAGGGGAGAGTAGTGAGAGATAATTAAAGTGACAGGACAAGAAGAAAGGGTCAAAAACCTCAGAGAGGATCCAGATCCTTACTCAATGTCCAAGGGGACCTGACCTGTTTGAGAGGCAAGGAGCCAAAGAAAGCAAGGGTGCTTGGAGCAATCCCAACATGAAATACCAAGCTAAAAGGCAAGTTGTTCCCCACCAAGTAGGGACATGAATCATCCGCAGAGAAAGTAGATTTCCTTAAACCACTGGGTCTTTCCAAACCAATCCAAAGCCAACTATCCCAAAGCATACGGGGCAGCTTCCAGGGGGAGATCAGGTGGAAGAAGCTAATGCCCAAATGGAAAGACCACAAAGGAGAAGAAAGGAATAAGGGAACCATCAAGGAAGGTTCCTGACTCACCCATCCTTTAGCATCAAACTGTATCCTGTAGTCTTAATTCTGGGGCCCAGGTTGTCCTCAGGAGTCTCTTCGTGGTTGCTGGGAAGCTGATACAGAACCACTTGGGACTCCTGTGTGCCAAGACAAAGAAATCAGTCACGAGCCAACAACGTGAAGACAACAGTGTTTTATATAAAGAAAGTGGCAAATAGAAGGCTACTCCACAGTCAGAACCGCCTGCAGAACTTCTTATTCCTATCTAGCTGTAAATTAGTACCTATTAATCAGCCTTTACCCAGAGACTGACTTTCTAAACTTGTCCTGTGCCTGATTCATTATTGATTTCGTGGTCATCACAGTTGTGAACTCTGGCTTCACTGTTTCTCTAGAGGCAAGGCACTATGCACAAGTTTGTGCAAACCATCACAATAAAGTTTGTAACCATATCAGTGTATAATCCAAAAGCTGCTCCTGTTGAGCTTCAGGCCAACCAAGATGCATCTAATCTAGTCTTGATATCCTTTAAATCTTCCCTTGCAGTATTGTAACCATCCGTTCAAGCATCTGAAACCTCTCCCAGAAATCACCATCACCTGCCAGAGGGCCGCCTCGCCTGTGGATTTCAGCCTGACACACAACACTGGGTATCACTGTTTATCTTTAAATGACTCTGATGCTGTAAGTCTCAGTACAGCTGAATGTAAGAAAAGTATGATAGTACTTACTATCAAAGACATATAATACTTCCCATTGCATATAATGTTGTGGAATATCAAGGAACCAGACACTGGAGGATTCAAGTGTATGCAGGTTTTGCTATTGTGAATTCTAGGGGCATCTGGACAGTGCTTTATCCACTGAATTCTGTTCATCCTCATGAAACTCCACCTCACCTTAGTATGGGATCAGCTACCCACAGCCATTCTCTCAAATGAAAACGAGACATAGCAGTGTTATCATAAATAACTCACACTAGTAAAAAGTTCACTCCCATTAAATACAGCAAAGTAAAAGGCTAATGAACTGGTAACATCCTAACCCTTGAAATAATGTGCATCTAAGGTACTTCCTTAGGGGTGCCTGTGACTACCTAAATGTTATCTCAACAAAAGGGAGAGGACAGTTTGCCATGAGGGAAAGCAGGTCCACAGATGCTCACACTCTGCTCCACCTCAAGCATCACTGGGTCTCGTCCCTCCTCTGGCCCGTGCCTAACTCAGCACCGTGGAATCCTGACACACTCTCCATATTCTTCCTGCTGAGTGTGTGTATGTCTATCTGTGTGCTCTGGCGTATCTCCCACACGCAATCCTGAATCTGGGGAAACTGGACAGTGTAGTCTGATCTCTATACATTAGATGCATCCATGAGAGATGCTTTCATGCATTTTCCTAAAGCATCAGGTGGGGAAGTGAAGAACCCACCCGAGAGCAGTCCAGAACACGAGAGTGTACCCACCGCTGTTTTCTAGATGCGTCCTGGAGAAGCCTCCTGAAGCCCCTTCTCAGCTCTCAGGGATACACAGCCTGGCTCCTTTTCCTCTCTGTGGATGAAGCTTCAAAGTGCCCCAAGGTACAGCAGTGGCCCCTCAACACTCACCCAATGAAAACGGCACTCCAGTCCTCACAGAGAAAGCAGCAGGCAAGACATAAGAGGGAACCTGCACATGCGCACCAGGTGGGACGGCCACAGCACGTTTGGGCGCCACCTGCAGGCCCTAGTAGTAACGCAGGACATGCCAGTTCTGTAGAGCGCTGGGTTCCCAGTGGCCCCTGCTGCTCCACTGGGAGAATCAATGAACATTCCTACTTAACATATGCCAGGCTGTGATTTCACATGCACCAAGGAAGACGGCAAGCCCCGAGTATTCTGTCTGCATGACACCAGATGAAGACAAAAAAGAAATAAAATACAAAGTCACTACAAAACATTTGATGAATTTTCTTTATACCTGCAATGAAAACTTGGAATGAAAATGCTAAAAGTTACCATTTACAATACCATGCAAAAATAAAAGACTTATAAATCCAGCACAATATGAACAAAAATATCTCACAGAACTGTAAAACATGATTAAATAAATGAAATACAAGTCAATAGAAATTTTTTTTATGATAAACAGAACATGAGCATGTCAATTTTCCTCTCATCTTGATATGTAGGGTAATCTCAATCAAATTTCCACTGAACTGCTTTGTAGATAATGTTATGTAGATAACCCGCTGTGCCACAGTGCTGGCCCCTCCCCTCTAGTTTTGATAGTAGCTAGCTAGCCACCTTTTCCAAATGTGTGTGTGTTTTTTTTTTTTTTTGAGAGGCAGAGTGGACTGTGGGGAGCAACTCAGACTAGACTAAGTTACTGGAATTAAGACTTATTCTATGCATCTGCTCTCCCACAATATGGCGCTGAGAGAGACCAAACAACCTCTACACAGCTGCCTCTCGCCAACTTGACTGATGAGCTGCAGGAGCTGATCTTGCTCCTGATTGGAGGAGAGCAGCGTACTCGGCGTGTGGGTAGCAGAGTTGGGATTGGTGGAAGAGGACTATAAAGGAGGAGAGAGACAACATGCACCAGGAACATCTAAAGGAAACATCTGAAGGAACATCCGGATAACATCTGAGCAGCCCCCAAGCGAGCCAGCTGGTGGTGTGTCGCTCCTCCGTGGAAGTGGGGAAAGTGGCAGGGGGAGCCGCCCCTCCACGGAGGTGGAGGGGTCAGCAGCCAACCCGGGAAGGACCAGCAGCAAACCCGGGAAGGGGTGAGCAGACAAAAGAACAGCGCAGTATCTAGTGTCATTCCTCCATGAAGAGGGGGAGCGACAGTGGACAGTGAGAGAGAGACAGAGAGAAAGGTCTTCCTTTTGCCGTTGGTTCACCCTCCAATGGCTGCCGCGGCCGGCACGCCGTGGCCGGTGCACCGCGCTGATCCGAAGGCAGGAGCCAGGTGCTTCTCCTGGTCTCCCATGGGGTGCAGGGCCCAGGGACTTGGGCCTCCTCCACTGCCTTCCCTGGCCACAGCAGAGAGCTGGCCTGGAAGAGGGGTAACCGGGACAGAATCTGGTGCCCCCCAAATGTATTTTTAAAAAACCAGATTTTCTATAGAATAATCACTTTACCTGACTTCTGGGGGCAAAGTGCTGCAGGAACACCATGGAACAAAGAGGAAGAAATTGGGAAGGTGAGAGAAGGAAACACATGTGTCAATTTAAGGAAAGAAAGGCTACCTGAGATAAAATTTTCCCAAAAGACAAGGGGTTAAATGATGTGAATTCTCACCTCTTTATCCTGTTTCTCAATTATAAAATTTCTAAATTTTCAGTAACTTCAGGGAATCCAAATCCCCACAAATACATTTCATCCTCAAAGAATCATTGCATCATTTTGTAACATTTGGTTCAAGTTTAAGACAGAAATTAAGATTAAAATTCTGAAAATAACAGAGAAGGAAAGAAAATCTACAAGTGTCATCTTTGGTAAAATGGGCTAAGAGCTATAAAAGGACAATTTAAGTGTCCTTTAATTTAAGTGATAGGAGGCATCTTTTTTCAACACTGAGGGTTTAATATAAAACACTGAATTCAATGCATGATCACTAGGGTTCATCAGTTATTCCCTCAGTTCCCTTAAAATCTAGTTAGCATCTTTTGTAATAAAATTCAATAGTGTTAAACACTACAGGGGCTGGTGCCTTGGCTCACTAGGTTAATCCTCTGCCTGAGGCGCTGGTATCCCATATGGGCGTCGGGTTCTAGTCCCGGTTGCCCCTCTTCCAGTCCAGCTCTCTGCTGTAGCCCGGGAGGACAGCAGAGGATGGCCCAAGTGCTTGGCCCCTAAACCCACATGGGAGATCAGGAGGAAGCACCTGGCTCCTGGCTGCAGATTGGCGTAGTGCTGGCCGTAGCAGCCATTTGGGGAGTGAACCAAAGGAAGGAAGACCTTTCTCTCTGTCTCTCTCTCTCACTGTCTAACTCTACCTGTAAAAAAACTACATATATATATGACTACATCAGCAATAAGATGATCAAAGAATGTTAAGTTCAGCATCAATGTTAGCAGCATACTGCACAACTAAACTCAGACACCTGACTGCAGTTTTGTTTTGTTTTGTTTTTGCAAGGATTTCTCTTTTGGGAGGAGAGGGAAGAAGAAATGGGGGGAAAGGTAAATATGCTAACTTAGAATACTTGCCCTTAAAATGAATTAATTTGTATTCTGTTGTTCATCAGTATGCAAGTAAGGACCTGGAGTTTTCAATCCCCAAAGAAGCTGTTACCCATATGAAAATTTATGTTTTAGGAAAGCCTAGGTCTTCACATTACTGGTTCTACACTCTTGAATTTTGAATTTTGATTTGAAAACAAACCAGATAACTTGAAATCAAACTCAGAAAGCTCCAAAATAAAGAATAATAGTTCTTCCTTCTAAGGGCACATATTGAGAACCACGCAACAAGACCCTTCGGTAATTCATAAATCAACCTCATTATTCCAAATTTGGCTTTATAATAAATATTAATGGAGAGTCCTGGACAATTTGATAACTGTACATAACTAAAAGGTTAAATATTAATTTTTTGAATAGAGTAAAATCTTCCTTCGCTAGATGTAAATTCTGATTGGGCTATTGGTAACTTGCATGACACATACAAGGAAAGATTATATGAGGATGGGGCCCATGCCATGGCTCATTAGGTTAATCCTCCGCCTGCGGTGCCGGCATCGCATGTGGGTTCCGGGTTCTAGTCCCAGTTGCTCCTCTTCCAGTCCAGCTCTCTGCTGTGGCCTGGGAGGGCAGTGGAGGATGGCCCAAGTGCTTGGGCCCCTGCACCCACATGGGAGACCAGGAGGAAGCACCTGGCTCCTGGCTTCGGATTGGTGCAACGCCGGCCATAGCGGCCATTTCGGGGGTGAACCAAAGGAAAAGGAAGACCTTTCTCTCTGTATCTCTCTCTCTTACTGTCGTATAAATATAGAATAGATTATATGAGGAGGCTTTCAGCACAGAAAGATATAAAGGACTTTTTCCTTACAAAAAAATAATAAATAGAAATATCATTCAGGCAGTGAAACAGGAAAAAATTCATAACCTGTATACAACTTGTTTTCTTGTATAATCAGTGCTTTATAAAGTTTTCCTAATTTTTATATCTTTAAAGACAATCTGTCATAAAGTAACAAGAATCCAAAATTATAATTCTTTTTTTTTTGACAGGCAGATTTAGACAGTGAGAGAGACAGAGAGAAAGGTCTTCCTTCCTTTGGTTCACCCCCAAAATGGCTGCTACAGCTGGCGCACTGCACCGATCCGAAGCCAGGAGCCAGGTGCTTCCTCCTGGTCTCCCATGTGGGTGCAGGGGCCCAAGCACTTGGTCCATCCTCCACTTCCTTCCTGGGCCAACAGCAGAGAGCTGGACTGGAAGAGGAGCAACCAGGACTAGAACCCAGGGTGCCAGAGCCGCAAGCGGGGGATTAGCCAAGTGAGCCGCAGCACTGGCCATAATTATAATTCTTAAAATTTGTAATCAATATGTTTCCATGAACTCTTGACACATTAGATTGCTATGAATCCTTTTAAGAATTCTTTGAATTTTTGTTCCTTTCTACTTCTACTTTATTCTATCAATATTTGTCTTAACTTCCTTGTAGTCAAGAGCCAGACCACCTGGGATATAGTTCCCCTAGCTTCTCTTCAGTGTAGGACAGAGGCAGAGAATGAGAAAGGGGAAAGAAAGGGGTGGGGATGGATGAGAGCCAGAGACAGAAAAAAGAATCCTGATTATCCCCTATTCTTTTCTTTTTCCCTTCACTGTACATCTAATTTCTTTTTCTTTTGGATCCACTTTAAATATCCATCATAGTAAATTGAAACACATTTTTGGGAAATCTTATAATTGTCACAGGAGATTCAGAACAACAAAGATGAGCTGATCCAGAGTCTAAAGTCTAAATAGATCAATTAATGCGGTGATTCACATGCAGCAAAAATTTTGTTCCAATCACCTTTAAGAGTTTCAATGTAACCCCAGTCTAGACTCCAATTTATTCTGAGCCTCTCAGGAATGAACTGTTTTGTCATTTACATATTCTATCAGACCAATTCTCAAAAAACACACACCCTAAATTTTACAGATGTGAAACAGGGAAGAGATGGGTATAGGGAAGAGATGGGTATAGACTATACTAAATTTTCTCCAACTTTCACACCGCACACTCATTCAAGCACACATATTGGACATAAAAATTGTGCCAAGATCAAGCATCAGCTTTCTATTTTAAAAGCCTTAATAAAAATGTAGATAGGCTCACTGCAGTTTCTTTAAGGGAATATTCAGTGCTTCGGTCCTGCTTTACGTTTTCACAACTCAGTGTTAAGAACAGAGTAGGGGGCCGGCGCCAAGGCTCACTAGGCTAATCCTCCGCCTTGCGGCGCCAGCACACCGGATTCTAGTCCCGGTCGGGGCGCTGGATTCTTTCCCAGTTTCCCCTCTTCCAAGCCAGCTTTCTGCTGTGCCCTGGGAGTGCAGTGGAGGATGGCCCAAGTCCTTGGGCCCTGCACCCCATGGGAGACCAGGATAAGTACATGGCTCCTGCTATTGGATCAGCATGGTGCGCTGGCCGCGGCGGCCATTGGAGGATGAACCAATGGCAAAGGAAGACCTTTCTCTCTGTCTCTCTCTCTCTCTCACTGTCCACTCTGCTTGTCAAAAAAAAAAAAAGGAAGACCTTTCTGTCTCTCACTGTCCACTCTGCCTGTCAAAAAAAAAAAAAATCACCTGACTACAAAAGGAACAATCTGTAAATGATGTCACCAACACTAACAAACTTGTTAACATTCACACAACATATTATTCATCCTTGTTTCATGATCACA